TAATACAGTTGTACATAGAAAACATGCTGCATGAATTGTTCAGATGTACTTTTTCATAAACTCATGGGTTTTCTTACCTCCAGTTGGAGTCATTAATTATTCATCTCTGTCATAGAAATATGTTTCCTACAGGACATATTGATCAAGTACACGGAAAATGACAAAACTGGAACTGAATAAAACTGGAAGAGAAAATTGTACTGTATTTTAGCACCAGAATAATGGCATGCGAGTAACACTATTATCTGAAAACTCCAATATAGCGGAATAGTAATGACATGGGGTGAGATGGTGGTTGAAGCACACCTGGTGGTTAACACATACAAGCCTACACAACGCTCTCTAAACTGAAAAGGTATGATAGTATGGGGATATAATTATATTTGTACCTGCAGGCATGAGAGAGGCTTTTAAACTGTAAATTGTTTATCATTGACTCTCAGAGACAGGGGCACTATTTGAGACAGGTGCACTATTCGAGACAGGGGCACAATCCAAGAGAGGTCACTATTCGCGACAGGGGCACTATTCGAGACAGGGGCACAATTCGTTAAATGTCACTCTTTGAGAGAGGGCACTCCTCGACAGATGGCTGTAAACGCGAGAGTACTGTAAGACCCATTGCACATCACAGTTCCAATGAGAACAAAATTGAGCTAAGAAAGTGGATGAGGCGTGCAGGTATATCACCACCATCGCAGATTCAGCACGGCGGACTGCACAGCAGACCACTGACCATGCTCAAATCTCATGAATGACTTTTAATTGCTGCAAAGGTTAACCTTTATCCACCTAACAATCCCATGCTAAAGAGACATAGTGAAGTACTGCAACTTGCACTTACCCCAATCCAGGAGACACTTTCCTAGGCAGAGTGAAAACAATTCCTCAAATCAATACAATCACTAGCAAGCTGGCCATGACTGCCATTGACCCTCCGCTCACCCTAGACTTTCCACTAGGAATAGCCACTTCTCCAGACAAACAAAGTCAAAAGAAGGACACCAAACCAGAACACACACACAACAACATACCAATGCACGCATATACACACACACACATGTACACATGCACACACACATCAATATGCATGGGTGAATACAAATTACGAAAACCCTTCTGCACATGGTCATTTCTAATATTGCAAAATTCAATACACTATACTGAATTTTGAGAACCTCTATTTTGAATGTTTTTGACGGGGTCGGGAGGGGGGGGGGGGTGTCAAATGCATGCATGTTAAAGACATTCAAAAGAGTTACACGCTTACCAAAGCAGTTGGTACCATTAAACCTGTATCCCATGTTACATGTACATGTAAAACTTCCCATAGTGTTATTGCATTGAGAAATACTGCTGTCGGAACACTTGGTCAAACACTCATCCACGTCTGTAGCAAAAAGAAGGAATGATTTTCTTAGAAGAACAGGCAAGCTAATGAATGGTGGCCAAAGCAATATTGTCCAACTGCTGCGGAAGCCCAGCTTAGGGTGAAAAGCACTTTATTCCTGTAGTGATGCAGAAGACGTTACTTGAGTAATGTGGTGGAGCAGTTGGTACATCTAAAAAACAACTGTCCGAGACCAGTATCAATATGGTGTGCATGTCGAAGCATCACACAGTTTGTCTACAAGACATGGTACTGTAGGCAGAGATGTAAAAACTACACACAGAACTTTACCATGCAAAACAGCAGGTAATGCACTGCAGCTCCCAGTTGAAACAACCGCATGCACAATCAGCACACCTACAAATATGCACATTGGAGGGTAAACCACTAGGTTACAACGACAATGTCAGACTCTGCCAATGCTAGAGAGTACTTTACATGTGTGTACGTATGTGTACGTATGTGTGTACGTTTGTGTGTGTGCGTGCGTGTGTGTGTACATGTGCGTGTGTGTGTGCATGTGTGTGTGTGTGTGTGTGTGTGTGTGTGTGTGTGTGTGTGTGTGTGTGTGTGTGTGTGTGTGTGTGTGTGTGCATGTACGTGTGTGATTGTGTGTGTGTGTGTGTTCCAGAGGTACTTCGAAGTACAAAGTATATGACCGTACATACATACCTGTACAATTCGGGAGAGTTGTCCACGTTCTATTAGCTCGACATGTTATTGTGTGAATGGAACTCGCAATAGTATCCATTGTAAAGCCGGCACGACATGAAATGCCAAGAACAGTTGCAGAGGCATTGGAGAATGAAGCATTGTATTTATAACCACGACGGGATTCTAACAGGGGACAGGATCCTAAAATCACACGAATGAGAATTGTTCACTTTATATTGGTTTCAGAATGAAGGTACTTAAGGCAGTATATTATGAAGGACTATCGCAAAACCCACGTTTGATCAGAGGAATTTCAATATATTATGGGATGAAACGTTCCTGAGGCTTCTCTTTGTCATTGAAATCACAGAGCAGAATTATCTCACTCTGTCCCTCTGCCCCTTTGGGTGCTAAGAACACAGCTCGAGTTGGCAGTGCTGCTTGAGCATGTCCATCACTGCATAACAAAAAGAAATCTGATAACGTCATTTGACCATACACAAACTGTACCCTTACCATACACTGCACACTTCTATTTTCTTTCTTGTATTGGCTTGGAGGGACTCCCATCATAGGTATCCGTTTACCTCGGGAGAATCCGTAGTTAACATATTTAATATAAGGTCATGGTAAAAATTATCTTTTATTCTCAAGTACGCGCACACCGAATTTTGGCGGCGCACCGACGATTTTTTAAAATTCTATGCATGCATATGCGCGCATCAATGCGAAAGGCAGGAATCAGGGAGTAGTAAAATACCGGTATTTTTCTACTCCCTGGCCTGAATAATTATGAACATGGGACCATGTACATTATGTGTGACCCTATCTTTGGAAATGAAAAAATGTTGGAAATAGTAGTAAGTAACGAGCGGGTTCTGGGCCAGGGGGCGCCCGGGTCCCAAAAAAGGGGTATTATTGAAAAATGGGGTACTAATAGTACCCCATTTTTGCGGTGAAAATTATTTTTGGCCCGTTTTTTTTGCGGATAAAATATGGGGGTATTATTGAAAAATATGTATTGGGGTGTTATGCTTTACCCTAAACAATAAGGTAATATGGTGTCATGATTTGGAATTCTGCATGTATCATTAATTTTGATTTTTAGGGGTGGGTGTTATGTCCTGCCCTACATCATAATATTGCATTCCGATGTCTAAAATATTACTATTTCTAATGTCAATGTTATCTCACTTTTTCCAATTTTATATTAATCAGAACTCATAGTTTTGCAGTATTTTGACTTGTAATTTCAATTTTTCGGATCATTTTCCGAATACTGGCTGCTAAATTTTCGGCAGACAAGTCTCATCCATGTCGTCAATCGTCGTACGCAGAACATGCGGATACTGTGGATGTGAGCGGCATCGAGTTTCCAGCAAAACTGGAAGACATACCAGTCATCGAAAGACTGAACGACGGTCTTTACATCAACGTCTTCGGATATGAAGAGAAAGTCATATATCCGTTAAGAATTTCTCAGCAACCGCAGACCGCCATCAATGTATTGCTCATTCAAGACGAACGCAATGACGTGGAGGTGCAGCACTGGGTGTGGATAAAGTCATTCAGTCGTCTTGTTGCTACTGGAGCACGTCGAGCACATTTCGTCTGCTTCAGATGTCTCTCAACACACGTCACGGAGAAGGCATTGAATAATCATATGATGTACTGCAGTGAACATCCTGAAGCCACGGTGGAGATGCCAAAGGCTGGCGATAGAGTGATGTTCAGGAATGTGAACAAGCAGCTTCAAGCCCCATTTGTAAGTAGAACACTTAATCAAGGTGAACACACTGTGGTCTGTTTTTTTTTCTTTCTTTCCTGCACATGTTTCTTGACTCTGATTGTTCACCTTTCTGCTGTTTTACTCGGTGTTGTCTCTGCAGCTATTCCTAATTCTCTATCTGTCTTTTCTGCTGTTTTACTCGGTGTTGTCCCTGCTGCTATTCCTACTTCTCTCTCTCTCTCTCTCAAATGCAGGTGATCTATGCCGATTGTGAGGCCTTCATAGAACCTCTGTCCGCTGTCAATAAAATCGGTCATTCGACATTCCAAAAGAACAAGCATGTAGCCTGTTCCTGTTCGTACATTGTAGTACGATCTGATGGCGTCGTCACGAACCGTTTCTTCTACCGTGGAGAAGATTCTATGTTCCGTTTTCTGCTGTCACTTGAGCAAGAGGAGGAGATTATCCGTGATGAGCTTCTAGCATGTAATGCTGGTCAAATGATCATTTCAGAAAGTCAGCAACGTGAATTTGAAACGGTAGTCTCCTGTTGGATCTGTGGTGAAGCGTTGGGTAGCGATCGTGTACGTGACCACTGTCACATCACCGGTGCTTACCGTGGTGCAGCACACAACCATTGTAACCTGAACATGCGGATTGAGCCATTCAAGATCAAGATTCCTGTGATCTTTCATAACTTGAAGGGATACGATTCTCATCACATCATATCTGCCATTGGGAGAACGTCCATTGATGAGATTACGTATGTGAACGAGAAAGGACAAGAACGGGTACGTTACATATTCGTGGTGTGTGTGTGTGTGTGTGTGTGTGTGTGTGTGTGTGTGTGTGTGTGTGTGTGCGTGTGCATGGATCATGATGTTTTTCTAAGAAGGAAGATCATTACTATGTTGGTGCTGATATTCACGTTTATATGATTGATTTTCATCTTTACAGCTACACCTTAAAACTGTGTCTCCTCTTTTTCTTTCTTCTTCTCAGACCAAGCGTCTCGGTGCTATCAAAGTGATTCCCATCAACAGTGAAAAATATGTCACATTCGGATGGAGACAGTTCCAGTTCATCGACAGCCTGGCATTCTTGAACACCTCCCTAGACCGGTTGGTTTCGGCTACACCACCAGATGCATTCACCCTTCTATCCGTACGATTTCCAGACGAGGATGAACGCAAACTGTTGACACGAAAGGGTGTCTACGCGTATGAATATATGGGGTCGTACGACCAATTCGAAGAAACGCGTCTACCACCCAAGGATGCATTCCACTCAACGCTAACGAACACGGTGAGTAGTGTGACAGATATAGTAGATCTTTCTCTCTTTCTTTTTTCACCATCTTACTTCGAAGTACTAAAATAAACCAAAATGTGTTTGGACGCTTCCTGCAGCTTCATACTAAATAATTGTTTGTGTGGGCGAACTACTAAAATAAGTTCGTTGATTTGTTTTTCTTTTTGGTGTACATTTTCTATTCCCTAGGGTATCAGTGATGAAGACTATGCCTATGCGCAAACAGTATGGACTGCGTTTGACTGTGAAGATCTAGGAGACTATCACGACCTCTACCTGGAGACTGATGTGCTGCTGTTGGCTGACGTTTTCGAAAACTTCAGAAGAACTGCTCACGTAACCTATGGATTGGATCCCGCTAATTACCTCACCTTACCGGGATTTGCCTGGGATTCGCTGCTGAAAATGACGAAGGTGTCCCTTCATCTCATTTACGACATTGACATGTTCAACTTCATTGAGCATGGCAAAAGAGGTGGCATAAGCATGGTGTCCGCTAGACACGCCACCGCCAACAACAGATATCTATCGGAGTACAATCCAGACGAGCCGTCAAGCTTCATCCAATATTTAGATGCGAACAATCTATATGGATGGGCCATGTCTCAACCCTTGCCCGTGTCGGACTTCTGCTTTGAAGCAGTGACGGATGACCTTCTGGAGACGGTACTCGATCATCCAATGGACTCTTCGACGGGATACATGGTGGAGTGCGATTTAAGGATTCCAGATGGTGTGCATGACATGATGAATGATTATCCGTTGGCTCCTGAGCAGATGAAGGTGACACGAGATATGCTTTCTGCATATCAGACCCACATGGCAGAGAAACTAATGGTAAGTCATGGTCTATCTGGTGGATATGCTTGTATTAATCTTCTAAGGTTTGTGTATATCTATACTGTACTCTTGTAGGTGAGCGGTTTGGAAGTAAAGAAACTGGTGCCAAATCTACTACCGAAAGAGCGCTATGTTCTGCACTACAGAAACTTGCAGCAGTATGTGTCCTTGGGTGTGGAGATTACAGATGTGCATCGTGTGCTCTCCTTCACACAACACCCATGGATGAAGCCATACATCGACACTAATACTGACCTGAGAAAGCTATCAACTTCTGATTTCGAGAAAGACTTCTATAAGGTGGGTACTCCACATCATGTGTGTGTGTGTGTGTGTGTGTGTGTGTGTGTGTGTGTGTGTGTGTGTGTGTGTGTGTGTGTATTTAGCGATGGTGTGGGATCTAGTATGTACTGGAAGTGTGAATGACCTGAAGATAACAGTTTTCTTATTGTTGTTTTTCTTGTCTTTTCTTTGTATGCCTGTTTATCGTAGTTGATGAACAATGCTGTATATGGCAAGACCATGGAAAACGTTCGAAACAGAGTAAACATCAAGCTCATTCGTGAACAGGATGAAAAACCACGTCTCCAGAAAAGCATCAACAAACCTTCGTACATCCGCATTGTAACCTTTGAGAACGATCTGATAGCAATCGAGTTTGCCAGGACAAAGGTGACTCTCAATAAACCCATTTATGTGGGTACAGCCATCCTCGATCTGTCGAAGCACTTGATGTATTCCTTTTACTATGAAGTTCTCCTACCCCGCTATGGACAAAATGTACGTTTGCTCTACACTGATACTGATAGTCTGATCGTACATATTCAAACGGATGATCTGTACACGGATATGTCAAACAACATAACAGCCTATGACACATCCAACTATTCACCATCCCACCACCTGTACAGCACGGTCAACAAGAAGGTGGTAGGGAAGTTCAAGGACGAACTAGGTGGCAAACCCATCAAGGAGTTCATTGGTTTGCGGAGCAAGATGTACGCATACCGCTGCGAAGACAACGACGACAATGGCAAGCGTGCCAAAGGTGTGCAGAGAAGCGTGTTGAAAAACACCATAACCGTCGATGATTATCGAACATGTCTCGTCGAGGAGTCTCAGCTGAAGAGAACAATGAATTTTCTTCGAAGTCGACGACATTGCATTCACGGAGAGGAGCTACACAAGATTGCCCTCAGTGGATTCGACAGTAAGCGCTACATTCTGGAGGATGGTATCAACACCCTGGAATTCGGACACAAGGATATTCCAAAGCACTGAGGGATTTCCACACATACTAGAGCATATGTCATATCTTCTCATGAAATACATTGTAAATACTATGCGATTCATAATATTCACGTTAATCCAAAGCATGAGCTACATTGTACATATGAAATGCTAATACTTTTTGAGATCATTCACATCCTTCTTTGTTAACCAGGTATGGAATTTTTCGTCTTGATAACCCTTCCATTTGACGAGCCGACTGTTCTTGTTGTATTTCAACACCTTATCGAATCTCAATCCTGTGTGTCTGGCATGTTGTAGCTCAGCTCCATAGAACTGTCCTTGAATGACTTCTCCCATCAGGTCTTGAACACGATAGGTGTGGGGTACAGTGGGTAGGACATCGTTTACCACGAACACTTCCTCTGTCCAGTTGGGCGTGTACCCTTTCTCGAAATGACGTTTAGCCACAGCCAAACGCACATCATCACCCACTTTGAATTTAGCTGGTGATTGCTTCGAGTGTACGTCTTCATCTTTTGGTTTTCCATCAAGAGAAGCTTTCGTGGGACTCATACCGATACTGCGATGTTTCGAGCTGTTGTACTTGGCCATAAGCTGAGGAAGGACGTCAAGATACTGTGTCGTAGCTTTCTCCGTGAAATGGCGCCACATTCTGCCTTTCAGTGTTCTATTGAAGCGTTCCACCACCACGGCTTTTCCTTCGTTGTGGGTGCTGTACATGATGATGTTGTGATCCTTGACCCATTGCTTCATTGTTGCATTGTAGAACTCCTTGCCTTCGTCTACCCATAGTTTATGTGGTACCCTGTTCGATGTTTTCAGGATCATGTCGAATGCATCCCTGACAGCAGAGCCAGTTTTGGTTTTCAGGGGTACTGCCCAGGCATAGCGACTGTACAGATCGATGACGGTCAGCAGGAATTTGTAGTTCTTGTTGCTTCGGGCAAACCATTGCATATCCACTAGATCGGCACTCCAGATGTGATCCACAGACCTGCTCTTCACCTTGCGTCTTTTGAAATGCACTCGTCTGGGTTTGTGCAATTCGTTAGCCAGTTGCGTGTGGAATGGTGTGGACTGCGACTTCTTCTTCTGTCTTCCATCATGAAGTGCTTTTTGCACTTTCGTATCCCACAAGGCTCCACCACCTCGCAAGACACCTAAACTGAGAACCAGTTGATCGTTTTCCAGCTTTTCATCCTCATCGAAGACTCTTCGGAAAATTCGAAGTGCTTCATCCAGACCATATTTGGAAAATAGCTTCCCATCAATATGGCATACCATCCACATACTGCTGTGCTTCTGTCTTGAACGGCTTGGGTGTTGGTGATGATCTTACAGTCTGCATAGGCTTCTTTAAAGAAATCGAACAGTGCAGGTTCAGTGTAATCTTGCTCCATAGTGTATAGACTGCGTCCGAAACTGTCAAAAACCAGGATCACGTTTTGCTCGCGACACACGGTCAACCAATGATGTCCACCTTCCGGTGCATCGTACACCGGTAGAACGTTGTCGGTGTTGACGATACAAAAGTCTCCATTGATCAAGGGTGGTAAGAGGTCGTAACTTGTACACCCCACGAACCCTCCAACACCATTCAATCTTCCTTTGATGTCGGCACTGCTGAGAGGGTAGTCCATTCTTGATCATAGCCTGAAAATTTTCGCACGTGATCACATTGAACGTCCACTCAGGATATCCTTGATGATACGAGTGATCCTGCTTTTATCCTTCAGACCCTCTTGAATGAATGATGCATCGTCCACCATCACCTTTTGTGCTCTGATCATGAAATGCTCGGGATGGATCAATTTTGCTTCAGTTGTTCTACCATACGTAGAAGTCATATCGTTGAGATCTTGAAACTTGAGCTGCGATCCTGGTACAGCTAGCACTAGGGTGGCTAGTTCATGAATCTTTCGTTCTGATCGAAGGAATCCATCGACATGTTTGTGGATTCCCACCGCACCCGCTATGGTTGCAAACGGGTACCTGGACATGTAGATGGGATTCGTCTCGTTGACCAGAGTAGTGTAGTCGTTCATCGTCTGCGTCTTCAGGGCATCCGCAGCCGCTTCCTCCCGACTCCTAAACCTCAGTCGATCTTCATCGTAGAGTTGCAGCAGTTGTGATCGGCTTGTGAAATAGTTGCTCTTCAAAAAGGTTGCCGGTATATTTGTATGTCGGAGGAAACTGTTCAGGATTTGTAGGATCCATCGGTCGAATTCGTGGTCTTGTAATAGATTGAAAGGCACTGATGTTAAAGGTGCCGTTCTCTTCTTCCTGACATCTGCAACGGAATCGCGAACTTGATCGGTAGTGGAATCATAGTTGAGTATGTTGGATGCAATCACATTTCTCACAGACGGGTAACTGATGTGATCGGGATTGTTTTTGAAGTGGGTGTCATATAGACGCTTTACTCGCGGATCAGCTTGCAGTTCCAACAGGGTGGAGGTGCTCAAACTGTGATCTGGCACTTGGGAAAGAACTTTCTTGACGCTTTTCGAGTAGGTATTGTAGTTATTACCTCCTTTTTGCCGCATGAGTGGTGGTATACCGAGAACTTCCCACGAATTTACTCTCTTCTTGAGGATGTGTTGAGGATGTTTCGACATAAACTGCAAGGTTTGCAACCTTTTACGCTTGGGTATCGAGAAGGATCCCTTTCTGGACCCCACCCTCTGTATACTGCTCGGTAGCCCATTTGAGAATTTCACCGTAAGATGCTCCATTCTTATTCATGATTGGAATTTTTTTTCAATGTTTCGGCTAACTTTTCGGCTAACTTTTCGGCTAACTTTTCGGCTAAACACGCACATCAACGAGGTTTTTATTCAAAAGTCACCTTTAATGCAGTGTCTTCGCAATACGTGTAGTACTGATTAGAAGAGCAATCAATGGTTAGGATAGGTCTGCGACACACCGCCAATAACTTCTCATACAATCTAAAGATAATGGATGACTTCGTGCACAGACCACCAAACAGAGTATTGAGATAACGCTTGATATTGCTTTTATCAGTGAAGCGAAATAGATACATAAAGTTTGCATTGATCTTCATGTCCTTAATGTTATCAAAGCTCTGAGAGAGAAAGAACACGTTCAACTTATGATGATGACTGTACATGGTGAAGAACTTGTAGAGACACTCTCTTTGACTGCCGTGCTTCAAACCCATCACTCTGATGTCATCAATGATCACATAGGTGTTAGGCTGGAGATCCATGTCTTCAATACACTCGGGCATGGTGCTGTAATGCTTGAAGGATTTGAGGCTTGGGAGACGATACTGATCGGCCGGCGTGTTGAAGATGACAACTATACGCTCAGGTTGCACACGTTTCAGGAGCTTGATGAGAAAGTAGGATTTACCCATGTTGCTCTGTCCCAGAAACAATACGTTTTGACCCCAGGATTTCAGAGCACGAATGATTTCCGTGAACCAATCCTTAGACTCGAACTGAAGACCAGGAATGTGCAGCCCGTGTCGAGCAGTGGCCGTGGTCGGAACATCGTCGTACCTTACGGGACTAGTCTTTTTCTTCCTCCCGATTTCCTGTCCAAGGAGCGAGATAAAGTCCATGATCAGATGTTGTAGGATGGACCGATGTGAGCGGAACTCATAGAAGACGGTCATGCACTGTTAATGTTCTGTCGAATTTTTTGAGCAAATGGAGTTTCAGGACGGGTTAGGGATCTACGAGGTGCAGACAGGAGCGATGAAGCTTCGTCGAGGGCACGATATCCTAGTTTTTTGAACAATACCCTTCCTTGTTTCTTTATTCCTCGTGCACTGCGGCCTTTGGAACGAACTTGAC